GCCTAAGTTGTTTGATAATAACAATAAGCTTGTCTTCTGGATGGTTAACAACCTAAGTTTGCAGGCCAAAATTAGAGAAAAAGGAGGGCTGCAAGGAAAGTCAACATTTTGGCCCTAGCCTTCCAAGGTCAATTAAAACTCAGGACACCTCTTGAGTCACCACTGCGCAGCTCTGCTCCAGCAGTGCATCGGACCCGGTCGGAGCCGACTTGCTCTCTTGTACCCCAGCCCTTCGCGGCCAAGATGCCTGAGGAGATGCACCATGGGGAGGAGGAGGTGGAGACTTTCGCCTTTCAGGCAGAAATTGCCCAGCTTATGTCTCTGATCATTAATACCGTTTACTCCAACAAAGAAATTTTCCTTAGGGAGTTGATCTCTAATGCATCTGATGCCTTGGACAAGATCCGGTATGAGAGCCTGACAGACCCTTCCAAGTTGGACAGTGGCAAAGAGCTGAAGATTGACATCATCCCCAACCCTCAGGAGCGAACGCTGACTTTGGTGGACACAGGCATTGGCATGACCAAGGCTGACCTCATAAACAACTTGGGAACCATTGCCAAATCGGGCACGAAAGCGTTCATGGAGGCTCTTCAGGCTGGTGCAGACATCTCCATGATTGGGCAGTTTGGTGTTGGATTTTATTCTGCCTATTTGGTGGCAGAGAAAGTTGTTGTGATCACCAAGCACAATGATGACGAGCAGTATGCCTGGGAGTCTTCTGCGGGGGCGGGGGGGTCATTCACTGTCCGTGCTGACCATGGGGAGCCCATTGGCCGAGGCACCAAGGTGATCCTTCATCTCAAAGAAGACCAGACAGAGTACTTGGAGAAGAGGAGGGTCAAAGGGGTGGTGAAGAAGCACTCCCAATTCATTGGCTACCCCATCACCCTTTATCTGGAGGAAGAACGAGAGAAAGAAATCAGTGATGATGAGGCAGAGGAAGAAAAAGGTGAAAAAGAAGAGGAAGATAAGGATAATGAAGAGAAGCCCAAGATTGAAGATGTGGGCTCAGATGAAGAGGATGATACTGGAAAGGATAAGAAAAAGAAAACCAAGAAGATTAAGGAGAAATACATTGATTATGAGGAACTGAACAAGACCAAGCCCATTTGGACCAGAAACCCTGATGACATCACTCAGGAGGAATATGGAGAGTTCTACAAAAGCCTCACCAATGGCTGGGAAGACCACCTGGCAGTCAAGCACTTCTCTGTGGAAGGTCAGCTGGAATTCAGGGCATTGCTCTTCATTCCTCGGCGGGCTCCTTTTGACCTATTTGAGAACAAGAAGAAGAAGAACAACATCAAGCTGTATGTCCGTCGTGTGTTCATCATGGACAGTTGTGATGAGTTGATCCCCGAGTACCTAAATTTTATCCGTGGTGTGGTTGACTCAGAGGACCTGCCCCTAAACATCTCCAGAGAAATGCTCCAGCAGAGCAAGATCTTGAAAGTCATCCGCAAAAACATTGTTAAGAAATGCCTTGAG